TCAAATGCTTTGTTTTCAGTGTTTTTCTTTTTTTTTTTCATTCCATTGTATATACACACATTTTGCCTACCTAACCTTAAATGTAATTAAAGTAAGTTCTTTACGATATACGGTATACGGTATACGATATACGATATACATATGTATGCATATATAAATAACTAGTAATTAAAAAAGAAACGTATATTCGCGAGTTGTTTTAGTTGCTTAATTGTCTTTTTTTTTTAGAATTTTATATGTTTCTATGTTACATCATCAAATATTTACATATACATATTATTTATTTAATTTCATTGGGTTGTAACAAAAGGAAGGGTATTTAAGTTTTCGGCACAGGCTAAATTGAAATATTACATATGTTTGCCTGTGTGTATATATATATATATATATATATATATATATATATATGTGTGTGTGTGTGCATAGTATAATTTACAAGGTCTAACTGTGAGTTGAGAGCAACAGAGTGAGAGAGAGAGAGAGAGAGAGCAACAAAAAAAAACTATCACTGCACGCTTCAAAAGACAGACGTAAATTAGATGGACAGAAGCTAGATGAAGAGGAGGAAGCGGAAGAGAAGAGTGAGCGAAAGGCCAGAGTCCCAGGGCCCAAGCAACGTGACAAGCCCCAAAAACAAAAACAATAAACCAAAACTAAAACGCGCCAAACTCAACACGCTGCCAGAGAGAAACTCAACACACGCGGGCAAAGCAAAGCAAGCAAAGCAAGAAAGTCAACATTGTAAACTGGAACTCAACATGCAAACAAAAAAAATACAAATAACAAAAAAAAAAAAACGCTGCGACGCTTAGTAGATGACGTTGGCGTTTGTGCTGCGTCGATGTTGCTGCGGACGTCGCTTTTGCTGCTGCCGTCGGCGTGTTGACCGTGACGCCGACATTTTGTTCTTCTCGTTTTAAATAGAAACAGAAATATAAATAACAAAAACAACAAATTCAATTAACACAAAACTGTTGACAAACTGAGATGAAGGGAAGCGAAAGCACAATAAATAAAACTGTACAGTGTTGTGCCGCCTTCTCCTCCCACTGCTGCCTATGCTCTCACTTTTTCGCTCTCGCTCTGGCTCTCGCGTCCGCGCGCTCTCTTGCATTCAGAACAAACACGCTGCCTGTGACAACATGTGGCTAAGCTTTAGCTTATGTCATAGACGTCGCTGTCTACGCCAGCGCCGGCGTCGCTGCTGACGCTGCGCACGACGACAGCAAAGCACCTTGACAAAGGGGCGGCGGTCGCGGCGCTGTCAACATAGCTGATATGCGCAATAACCTGGAGAATACGCACACGCACACACGCACACACACACACAGCGCACGTGCATGTGTATATGTTAAATTATTACATAGCCAAATAACTAGAACTAATATAACAGAACAGTTAACAGTTAGTTAACGGGGGACTGCGCCAATTCCAATTGGAAGGCAGCATAGGGGTATTCTGGCTACAAGCATCAAATTTAATTAATGCGACAAAGCGCGACAAATATCTATTGCATACAAATTTAGCAAAAGAGTAGACGCACAAATATGTGTGTACATATGTATGTATGTATATTCATATTCACCAAATGCGAAGAATCCACTCCAACAAGTGGAAATGGGTGGCGAATTTGAACGCCTTTGCTACGCCTTGTTCGAATTCGGAATGAGGCTGTGGACTCTCTTCGAATGCGATGTGACTGTAATTATTATTATATCGATTGAAAATGTGCAAAATGAGCGAGAGACTAGAAATTTAGAAAGAAACAAAGACACGTTTTTCGAGCATATCTCGAAGCTTTCAAGAGCTAGACTCTCGTATAGACATTTCCCGAGATGGAATCAACGATTGATATATACGGATATATTCTAGATGACTCCAGATAACTTAGGATAACTTGGGATAACTCCGTATAGCTAAGGATAGCTCTGGATAACTAAGGATAACTCCGGATAACTAAGGATAACTCCTAGCTCCGTGTAGATCGCCCTTGTTTATTTCAAGAGTTCTTGAGATATTGCGTATCTGAGCTAGATTTCCAGTTCGTAAAGGTTTTTACCCGAAAGACGTTTCTGATTCATTTGTTTTTAATAGTCCAAGGGAAAAGCTGTTTGGGACAGCTTAACAAAGGGTTGCATATATCTACATATATATATATATCTTATACATTGTTAAAATAGTTGGGGGTTTCTGTGGTTATGCTGGTTACAGCAGCACCACGAATGCTGCTGTCAATGGATTTGGTGGTGTCTCGCGGTGGTTGCTGCCGTTCCTGTTACTGTTCATTTTACTGCTCCTGCTGCTGCTCCTGCTGCTGGTGGTGGTTGTGACTTTTCCGAGTGCCATCAGAAATATTCATTTATGCAACATTCGAACTGTTTTCTTAGCTTGCGCTTCCAAGCAGCAAAGGGAAAGGGAAATGGGAAATGGGAAATGGGAAATGGGACTGCGCTTGGCTCTGGTGGATGGAACGCGGGAAGCTTTTCCAGCGAAAGGCTGGTGGTGGATCGGGTCTGGCCAGGCTATCAGGCTATCTGGCAATCAGGCGTTATCAGGGCCGCTTGCTGGTTGCCCCAAATGCGCGGGAGGGAGGGGGGGGGGGACACCCCCTGCACCCAGTTGTATCGCTTGGTTTTTTTTTATGGCTTCTGCGGGTTAAGGAACATCTGACATTTCGGTGGTCGTAGAACTTTCAGCAAACAAAGGAGAGCCCGGCTCGGCGCCCTAGGCCACAACTCATCAGCCTCATGGAGAGAGGAGGAAAGGGGGGGGGGGGGCGTTGCGGTGGCTGCGACGTCGCGCGCGGCGATAAGCGCAGCCAGCGACAGCAACAATTTTGATTGCAGCCAAGAACAAAGAGCCAGGAGCAGCGCAGCAGCCGCAGCATCAACGCCTCACAAAAAACCAAGCAAACAAGTAGCAGTGCCCGACTAGCAGATACCCTGCATATCGTGAATGTCAAATGCCAAAGAGTGGAGACTTCTCTCTCGCTCTCGCTCTCTCGCTCTGCATTGCATTTGCTCAAATTTGCTTCTCTTAAGAAGAAGAAATATCTTTTTTTTTGTCACTTTTCAGGCATTCGGACGAAAAGCCAGACTATAAAATGAAAAGTTGTGTATTTTATCGTTATCGATATATTGCCAAAACTAAGAAATTGATCGATTCTAGACTTGTGGCAAGAAAAAAAGAAGTAGAAACCCATCGAGATCGATAATTAATACATATTTGTGTATGTATTTTTCAGGCAACTGCAGCTCTGCAGTTCACAATTACAGGGTATCACAAGAGAAATGCAATCAAATCTACGCATGCCAAAGACATATGTGACTGCGCAGTCGGCGTCAGCTGCGGGCAGCAAAGAGAAAAACGAAAACCAACAACAACTTCGAGTGGAAACAAAAAAGGAGCGTGTTTTTGTTGTTGCAGTGGCAAGCGGCAAAAAGCAGATGCAACAACTGAACAAGCAGCAAAAGCAGAAACCGAAAGAGGCAAAAAAAAAATAACAACCAACCAAATTCTTATCAGTGAACTTTTTTTTTTTTATTTATATTGCATTTTGTGTTTTTGCAGCATGACGCAAAGTGAAAGGCGCAGCCCTGGCGCAGGCAGCAAAAAGGCAACAAAGCAAATGCTGCATTTAAAAATAAGAAATACAAAAAAAAAATACTCAAGTCTTCGCCCTGCACCGAGTACAGTTGTTCAAGCAGTGTTTAAATAAATACAACAAATAATAATAAAAAAAAAAACAATTAAGAGTTCTGGCTGAACATATTAAACGGTATTCACCACATTTAGATTACGTTTTGAGCTGTATTCACCACGTTTAGAGTCCGTTTGTTGGAAACCCTTTAAATGCACATGTTCACTTTTCCCACTGTACAAATGCAGCGCTGTTTACTGTTAACCTGCAGCCGCAGCAGCAGCAGCAGCAGCCGCAGCGCTGCATACGCATACACACAGCGCGTCGACGTCGCGTTGAGAGAGGCAGAGCGAGCGAGCGAGCGAGCGAGGGAGAGAGAGAGGAATGGCTTTGCTTGGTGGCTTGCAAAGGGCCTAAAAAACAAGCCTTATGCGTTTTTTTTTTTATTTTTTTCCTTGTTTCTTTCTTCATTTCTTTTCCTTTTATTTTTTGTTGTTGTTGTTTGCTTGTTTCGCTTCTGGCGAAGCCGGCAAGCGTCGCGGCCGCTGCAATGCAACTAGTTGGAGCGCCGACGTCAGCAGCGCTGCGCGCACTTTGTAATTTTATTTTCGTAATAAAATTGCATGAGAAATGTTCCCTTTTTTCTTTCAATTTGTATATACCCTATACGCACAGGTGACAAGCGGGTATCTTGTTTTGCACTTGGACAAATATTGAAGGGCTTGCTCCTCGCTCTCTCTCTCTCTCTCTCTCTTTCGCTTACTGTTGTGCGACTCGATCTCACTTTCTAACTCTATTTTGCTGTATCGCCTCGGCTTAAGAGTTTAACTTTGTAACAAATGAGAGCAAAACGTGCGCTCTCGTTCTCTCTCTCTCTCTCTCGCTCACACACACACAACGAAGCATAACAAAGGCCGCACAGCGAAGCACACGCACACAAACAAACGTTAACATAAAACGATAATCTCAAGCATTTAGCTAAGCAAAGCTTTCAAATAAATAAAGGAGCACACACATACACTGCCAAAAACGTACATGCATGCATGTTTGTGTGTATGTATGTATGTTTAACCGTAAAAGAGGCAAAACTAACATCACACGAATTTATCGCCTTTAAAGGAGTTTCGTTAAGTTATAACGCTTACAGTAGTGAGAGGAGGGGGGGTGAGAGAGAGCAGAGAGCAGAGAGCAAAAGCTTCTTCGTTAAGAAGATGAAATATGCGATAAAAGAAATCAAATTGAAATAAAACGGCATATTGAACTGTTTTATTCCTACTTTAGCAGAATAAATTTGAAAATCGGCTCAAGCGAGCTTTCACTGTACATGCATATGTTTGTGTATGGTAGTTGCAGTACTCACTTCTCGCGATGCAGCAAACAGATGCGATCCTTGGCCACTTTCAGTTTCTTGGCTATTATCTTCTTCAGGCTCTCGACGCTGATGTGCGGCTCGACGCTGACGCCGAAATTGCCGCCGGTTGTGGTGCTGATATTTAGGTTAATCATCATATTGCTGCCAGTTACCGTTCCCGTTCCCGTTCCAGTTACAGTTCCCGAGACCATTCCAGTAGTGCTGCCAACTGTTGTGGAACTGTTGTGCTTGCTCCCGCTGCTGCTGCTGCTGAGCAGCGCACTTGTTGTGGCCATTGCTGCTGCCATGGCCGCAGCCTGCGAATAACGTTGCCGGCCACTATTGTTGTTGTTGTTGTTGTTGTTGTTGTTGTTGTTGGCGCTGCTGTTGCTGCCGTCGGCGCTGGCAGTATTGTTGTTGTTATTGTTGCTGCCACACCCAGCTCCAGTTGTTGCTGCTGCCTCATTTTGGACATTAGCATCAGTTGCGGCTTTAGCTTTCGCCGTGTTCGTTGTTGTTGATTTATCCATCATTGACAAATTTTCTTTTCTCTTGGCTCACACACCCACGCAACAAAAACAAACAACAAAAAAAAAAACACGCAGCAGCTTCAATTTGTCGAATATCCCAGCGATAACAAACAATTTAAAAATAAAAAAAAAAAAAGGTAGCGAAGAGGAAGAACAACAACAATGCAATGCAAAACTGTGCACAAGAAAAAAAAATGCGTTGAAAATCGCGTAACGCGACTGCGACTGCGACGACGACTGCGGCGTTGGTTCAATCGATTTTGTATACACACCACACCTTATGCGCACACACACACACATGCACAGCTACGCACACGCACAGTCACACGGAGAGATAAAAAGGCACGCACGCACGCACGAAGAGCAAAGAACGTCGACGCTGACAGCGACTGCGCTGCTATTAAATTTTTTGTCTATTGCTGCGCGGCGACTGCGAAGTGTTGCTGCTGCTGCTGCTACCAAACAAGAAGACGGCAGAGTTGACGACGAATTGTGAAGGCGTCGGGCAGGGTGGGGCGGACATACAACGCACAGTTACGTGTGTGCCGAAACAAGCGCAACGAGCCGAACGACGCGTGGTAGGCTTTTCTTTTCTTTGCTTGTCTTTCTTCTTTGCCGTTCGATTGCGAAACCGTTTACAGTTTCACACGCACTGCTTATGCTCCTGCTGTTGCTGCCGCTGCTGCTGCTGCTGCTGCTGCTGCTGACCGTTGCTAACTCTTCTTCCTATACGATCGCTTGTTGGTTAGGTTCGACTGTTGCGCGCTTGTTATGTGCAGATGGGATTTAGTAAATGTTTGATAGAGCAGTCCAGATGTCCAGGTACAACGCATATGGGTCGCTTGTTTTGTTTATGGGTTTGAGCGCGCACACGCGGCAAATGTCTAAGGAATTTGATTTTATTTACAGTTACGACGATTTTGTAACGGCATCGGATGGTTTTTGGCTTGATGTTCCACTGTAAGTGCGTTCGCACATTTGTACTATTACCACACACACACACACTCGTAACAGTGGTCAAAGAATCAAATTGCAAGCGGCGGCGGCGACGACGGTTGAACAAACTTAAAAAAAAAAAAAAGCCCCAACACACACACCAGGCGACAACGCACAGTTACAAGTCTGAATTTCGCGCACCGAGCGTCACACGTCCGCCTCGACCGGCTTTGGTTTTGCTTCTGAATTATCGATGACATACAATTTGATTTGAAAACGCGCGTTTCTATCGAATTCTAACATAACATAGCTCTGTTAGTGGCACTGTTACAGTTTGTTAACAGAGACGCACATATGCAACTCTGGTGCTAAAGCGCCATCTACTTCAAACAGCAGGGTTGCATGCGATGCCAGCTGTCAGTGCTGACGAGCGGAAGTGACTTTCTTGTGTCAAAGCGAAGCAGAGTTCTTTTCGTTTAAAGGTCTCCTAGGCGAAAGTTGTGTTTTTCTGTGCATTTCACGTTTCGTGTCAAAAACTTAAGACTTAAAGTAAGTGACTGCGCCAAACCAAATAGTGCAATCTGTGCAGAAATTAAACACGAAACACTTGCGCAACATAGAAATTGAAAAGCGCCAGCGATGCCAATTAAATAAAGCGATTATTATTTATACATCATATACGAATGTTTATATTCATATTAAATTTGTTTTCATTTTAGCATGCGTTACGTGGCTGCATACCTATTGGCTGTCCTCGGCGGACAAGAGAGCCCCGCCAATGCCGATCTGGAGAAGATCCTCAGCTCGGTGGGCATTGAGGCCGAGGCTGAGCGTCTCACCCGCGTGATCAAGGAGCTCAAGGGCAAGAGCATTGATGATCTGATCAAGGAGGGTCGCGAGAAGCTCTCGTCCATGCCCGTTGGCGGCGGTGCTGCCGCTGCCGCTGCCCCGGCCGCTGGTGCACCCGCCGCTGCCGCCGGCGGTGACAAGAAGGAAGCCAAGAAGGAGGAGAAGAAAGAGGAGTCCGAGTCCGAGGATGATGACATGGGCTTCGCTCTCTTCGAATAGACAAACCTCTACCATCTTGTCCAACCACTCGTATATACTGTGTAAACCAACAGCAGGAGCAGCTCTTCCTGTGGTATGTTAACAACTGTGCTGCGAAAAGGGGGAGGAGGGGCAGGGCAAATGTTTATGATGAACCAAACTTATCACCATCTTTCGACTGAGCACAAACGTTGATGCTATACAAGTTTCACTGATTCATTTGCCGCCGCATCTTCCCCCCCGCGCCAATGCCATGTGCCTGCAACGGTATTAATGTTGCCTCTCTTTCTCACTTACAGGACAGCCGGCAGTATTAACAGCGTCGTCTGCCTTGCACAGTGGCACACACATTGCTTACAAATGCCGTTTGAAATTCGTTTATTTTTTTTTTTTACCAACCAACAACAAATATACAAAGAAAAAAAGAGTTGAAACGTTTATTTCTATGAAATAAAAGTCTGCAGTGTTTACGCTTTATATACGTACATATATATGCTGTGTAGTGTCTATTTTTTTTCTACCAAAATTTAAATATGTGCATTATTATTTTTTTTTTAGTTTTTTAAATAAAACTGTGATTGATAGTTTAATCGGGTACAGTAGAGTCCTGCTATGGCTAAAGTCTTCAGTGCGCCGAGTTCAAGTTCTATATATTTTGTTTCGGTTTTCCTATGCCTTAGACCAATGTGCGTATATCAAGCTGCGCATGCACGAGTGCGAAAGAGCTAGCAGATATACTTTTGCATGGATTCGACTCTCGACAAGGGCCATGGATATATGTACATATATAATATATCTGAAGAGTCGCCAATTTAAGCGCATTCCATTTGGCATCTGCTAATCCATCCGACAGCTGATACTGATCCAGAATATATATAAACAACTTGAATATGGCCGTAAACAAGTTGTGTAAGAGGTTCTGCACGGGTCATAGGAGGAACTAGAAAGTCCAATTGTATACAGATCTGTATATACATGTTCTCTCGGGTAACACCCGGCGTTGCGCGTGCTCAAATTGTTAAATGTGGCTTAGGCAAAAGTTTAGCATATCTACCTTTTTCCACTCGAGTGTGTTGAGTAGCAAATCAAATTTGACAAGGATCTCGGGAAAAATGAGCTTGATCAACAGATTTCCGCTTAGTTTCCACAGTTGCAGGTGGAATTGCCAGACAATTATTCATTACGCATTCTCAGCGAGAGGCGAACTATATCGTATCAGCTGCCGACACTGATCGGGAATATATAATGGAATGACTGCCTCCATTATATGCCCCACAAAGGTATACAAATGCGAATTCCCTATATGCATAGATAATCTATTCTGTAGCTGATTAAATTAGGTTAAACAGGCTATATTTTAAACTGAACGATTAGCTATAGTAACTAGCTTACAGCTAGTATTATTAGTATTAACAATAAGCCGGACTAAGCTTTGCGATAGTCCTTGGCATCCTCCAGTATGTAATCCTCCTGGGTGTAGCGCTTGCGCTGCTCCGGCGTGAGCGCCTGCAGCTCATCGAAGTCTGCTGTGGACGCCGCTGCCGTCCAGTCCTCCAGGTGCCGCTGATGCTTCTTGCGTTCCGGCGTCTGTTTGCGCCCGCGTCGCTGGGCCAGAAACGCCTCAAACTGGCTACGGTTGCTGGAGGCCAATGCCTCGGCCTCAGCCTCAGCCTCGGCCATTTTGCGTTGCATGCGCGCCAGCTCCGGCTCGGCACTTGATGGCTGTTCGGACTGCTGTTGATGCTGCTCCCAGGCGCTCTTGGATTTGCGCATCTTGGTCAGAATCTTGTCCATGATTAGGCGATGATCCAGGCCGAGCACATCATGCCTCATTTCGGGCATGGCTGCTGTGGCCAGCGGCGACGGTGCGGCAGCGCCATAGAATTCTTGTCGCGCCGTCTGTGCCGTATCATAAGTTGTTTGTTGCTGCCCATCCTGCTGCTCCGTGTCCGAGTCCGCCGGCTGGCTCAGTTTAAGCGTGCGCAGAATTCCCTCGACGCTGTTGATATTGCTGCCAGTTTTGTCGCGCACAAACTTGATGCGTGGCACCTCGCCCATGAGCCGCAGCTGGGAGAGCTCGTGGCGCAGATGGCCGCTGCAGCGTGACAGATTCGCGTCCAGCTGCGCATCGTTGTGCAGCTCGCCGGTGCCCAGCCAATAGACATTGATGCAGGAGAAATCCGAGCTGATCTTCACGCGCGACACCTGCAGGCCACGGCCCAGTATCGACTCGGCCGCCTCCCCAGTAGCCAGCAGGTCGGTGATGTGCGTCATAAACAGCTTGTTCAGCACGGACATGCGACGCGTATTGTGCTTGGAGCCGGGCGAATTGCTTTTGCCAAATTGCGATGCCTGAAAAACAACGCTCGGCGGCTGATAGCCGCTGCCCGAGCCGCTGCCGCTGCCGCTGGCATCATTGTTGGGATACCAGCGCTTCTTTGTGCCCGCCACCCGATTGCCAAACAGCTTGCCCAGAATCTTGCTCTGGCGCGTTGCATTCGTGCTGCCGGCGTTGCTGCTCTTGGCGCGCTGCCACGCGCTGATCTGTGCCAATTGGAGCTGGAGCTGGGCACTGCTCGTGGCATATCCAAGTGGCAGCAGTCGGTTGCGCAACATTTGTTGTTTGGCTCCTTGTTTTGTTTAAATTTGCAGTTCTTCTCCTTCTCTCCTATTCACGTTTTGTTTATTTTTAATCAAAAGTATCGGCTATCGATAGTATCGTTTTAGCAGCTCTTCGCACGATTGTTATCGTCTTATCGATCCCCATTGCCCGCTCCAATTGGATTATTCGACATCCAATTAACTTTAACTGTGCGCAGAAGCAATTTGTTGCCAAATTACGCTCACAATTTCGTTAAAAAATACCAAATTTGAAATTGTAAACACGAATAAAAGCAAAATATATCATGAAAGCAAATATACTGAAATATATCGATTAAAGTCTATTAAAATTACATTTAAAAAAAATACCGCACCAATTCTAGTAGCTTTGCTTTCGGAAACCAATTAAACATTATGTTTGCTTTGCGTCGATCTAAAAAATATTCCCAAACGAATATATGACAGCTTTTCCCTATTCAAAATCACATTTGGTATTTTAGTTTTAACTGAATCCATTTAGGTATATTTATGTTGACGTGATACGGTCACACCGATTACATCTTTCGTAATCCG